AAGAACAAATGTTTTTGCCCATGCCGACTTTATAATTCATTAAGTGATCCTGGATTGGGGTAGAACCTTTTTTCTCCTCTTCTTCCTCAAAAATGTGAATCTTTTCATAGCTAATCAGCCCATAAAAGAGAACAAGCAGAATGACACAGTGATAGAAAAAGAAGCAAAATGTATAATAACAAAGAACACGACTAGTTGGCCATACTGCGTCCCATTAATTTCGCTTAATGTTTCTATGTCGTTAAAACAAATGATATTAAACAAATCAAAAGTAATACTGGGCTGACCCAAAGGTAGTGAGTTATCTCAATTGATTGTTCAGTCAGTTACAGACTGAACAGATCCTTGTTCTACTTTTTCCTGCCCTTCTCACTACTGCACTTGATTAGTCTTAAAAAAACAAGTAACACTGTTCCTTGTTCTATTACATTCATGACCTATATACAATGACTACAAAGTTTATAGAATGTGGAAAACATGTGATACCACCTTCAGAGGTATTTAAGTATTGTTCGGTCAATAAATAAATATTTAAAAATATACTGTGGTCAAGGGTTTGGATCCCCATACCAGCCAGCCACCAAAAAAACCAAAAATCAAAAATCTTTGATAAACACTTTACTAGGCAATTGGGAAAAATAAAGACATAAGACTCTTCTACTTGGAGGTCTTTACAATCTACTTGGAGAGATAAGATTTTCATGGAGAGAGACAGTGTGTGCTCAACATACACAGTACATGCGTGATATTTATTACAAGACATAATTCATTGCTAAATTTTATAATAGAGATTAAAAATGATATAGCAATACAGAAAAGAGAGTTTGTGAAGTTGTAAATATTTTCCCAATTCCTGGAAATTTTTGTGTTTTTATTCTCCTTCAAGGAAGGTTATTATATTTCATTTCATAAAACCTTCAAGTTAAATTCATATTTCTAATCCCACCTATAGTCACACAAGTACTCTTTTCCTCTCCCCTCCTTGCCTACTCATCCTTCATTCTTTCGGGAAGCTTTCCTATCTGTTTTTCCTTCTCACTGTCATACATACTTTCTCTTTCTCCCTAGTCTCCCAGATGAACCCAGTATACAGTAGGAACTGCAGGTGGGTGCTTCAATAGCACCCTGTGTGTTCTCTGTTGAAGACAGGTGATTATGGTAAAATGTGATACATGTGATAAAGATAAATCTATCTTTCCTACTAGACCATAAGCCACAAAACTGTAGAAAATATGTCTATCTGGATTTTTCACTTTTTTTCTAGCACCTAGCATAGGTCCTGGTTTAATGAGTATCTTTTGAATGAACAAATGCCCAATAATATACATCTTGGCCTTTAAAGTAAGCAATATTTAGAAGAAAATATCAATATAGTTGTCTAACATACCATTTGCAAGGCTGAAAGTTCTTCTGTTAATCGAGAAATTTGTACATTATATTGTTTTCTTGTGTTTATAACCTGAAAATTAAGATATTTGCAAATTATTTATGCCTATAATAAAAATGATAAATATCTCATAAAACCTTCAGGATAATTTTGATATAAAAATAAAATTATAACTCAGGGCATAAATGATAAAGAAGCACACATTTATTAAAGTGCAAGAATTTGTGATGAGAATGGAAGGACAGCAAATAGGATGATATATCCAAAAGCACAACAGTTGTCAAACTTTTTGGTCTTGGGACCCTTTTATACTACACAAAGAGCTTTTGCTTATAATGAGTTCTTTCTATTAATATTCACCGTATTAGAAATAAAGACTGAGAAAATTTTAAAACACTTGCTTTTAATCGCTTTAAAAACAATAATTAAAATCATTACCTGTTAACATAAATAACATATTTTTAAGAAAAATAAGCATATCCTTCAAAACTAAAAATTTTTGAGAAGAGTAACATTATTTCACATTTTTAATAAATCTCTTTAACATTTGCCTGAATAGAAGACAGCTAGGGCTGGCTCCGTTGCTCACTCGGGAGAGTGCGGAACTGGTAGCGCTCAGGCTGTGGGTTCGGATCCTACATAGGGATGGCCCGTGCGCTTACTGGCTGAGCGTGGCGCAGACCACACCGTGCCGAGGGTTGCGATCCCCTTACTGGTCAGGAAAAAAAAAAAAGAAGACAGCTAGATTCTCATATCTGCTTCTGTATTCAACCAGTTGTGTTGCTGCATATTACGCAGCCTTCGGAAACCAACTCTGCACGCTCATGAGAGAATGAGAGTAAAACAAAGCAAATGAAGTCTTATTATCATTATGAAAGTTGGTGTGACCTCATGAACACTTTGAGCACTGCTGCTGTAGAGCAAGTCAAGAGAAAAACAGAATCACACACTGAAAATGTAATTAATAACTTTTAAAGCACTTTTACAAATAGAAGAATATTTTTATAATGCACATCACAACCCAGTGCTAAGCAAATTACTTTTTAAGGAAACCCTTATTTGAATTAATATTTATATATCTTCAGAAATAGCATGATTTATGCGCACAGAGTATTTTGTTGAATCAGTCACATCTCATCAGGATGGCTCCTATGACAATAATTTTTTCCTAATAACTATTCACGCTTTTTAAAAGGACTGTGAGGAATACTGATATTGATACTGATGGCATGTCATCAGCAAACTCTTATGAGCCAAAGGTCTTCAGAAATTTTCTAGTATCTTATAAAATGGATTATTTCTCAAATAAGATATAAACCTTCTTTAGAACATTTACAACACTGCCATATACTTTATTTGGTTAATTAATATGTTATCTTTTTGAAGATTTGCAAAACATATTATATGTGGGTGCATTTTAGCTCTATTTTATGTTCTAGTTTGATGTAGAGACTTTTCCTATGCATAATTATATTAAGGATCAATCTATTCTGTTTATGAATCAATAATGATCACAGCTAGCATTTACTGAGGAACATTGTATCAGGTACTTTTCAGAGTACTTTATGTGCATTATCTCATTAATTTTTACAATACAAAAAGGTAGTTATTAATCCCATTACAGATGACAAAGACTGAGGCATGGAGAAATTAAGTCATAAATGCCCCTATCATGTAAAAATTTTGATTCATTTAAGCCCAGTCATGTCTGTCTATGTCTCACATAATTTCTAAAAAGTGTTCTTTTTTTTTTTTTTTTTTTTTTTTTTTTTTTTTTTTTTTTT